TACATAGTATTTTGACATATAATTTGAAATAAAATATTTGGTAAATAAATTTAAGAAGCACAATTTTATCCAATGAATTTCTTTAAATGAAAATATCATCAATTTAATTTTTATCAATAAAGGTTTGGTAAATTTTTTAATATCAATTAATTTTTCTTTTCATTCATGTTTTGCCCCTTCTAAGATAATATATTGGCTCCGCCCCCCTGACGTATATTACGTATCTCTAATGACTTTAACAGACAGAGATTTAGCCTTGATTCTAATATCTTTTAATTTATTTTGCAAAATTCATTGCTTTTCTTGAATAATTCATCAGTCTCATGAATTTTTTTTTGCCAGACCAGAGCTGAATCCTTCCATCATCATGATTAGTTTACAAGTAGGAAGAAAATTATCTTCTCTTTTGGGTTTTAGCCCATTTTTTTTTTTTGTGGAAAACCAAACTTTGGATTCTTGTATTACAAATGGGATTTGAATCTCCCCCAATACATTTTTTCACAATTGTTTTCAACAACAAATCACCCGCCATGAATTTGAACATGGACTGAATCCTCATAAACGTGTATTGCACATAATTTAAAGAATTACATAGTTTTTGACGGTAAAAGTGACATTCTGTTGGTACATTTTTTTTTCCTCAAATTTTTTTAATAATAGATTAACCATCATTAATTTTGGTGTGTTTTCCACTATTAAATTTCGTAAAATTTATCACTGATAAAAATTGAGAAAAACATGTTGGAGGAAATATAGGTCATTAATTATTTCCTCAACTTTTGGGTAAAAAAATGTTTATTTATTTGGTCATAACTTATGGACAATGTTAGAGGCTAATTTTCCCAACATTAATTGTGGAAAATGTCCCCTCACTATTACGAGGATTGACCCAAATTTTGTTGACTTTTTATTTTTTTGTGCTCGGCTGACTTGAACGTTACTCGTTTTGAACATTGCGTCCAGAAGCAATGTTTTGAACATTTAAGTCAACATGGTGTGGTGTGAGTGGGACCTGATGCTCCGATTGGTAGAGAAGATGAAAAGTAGAAAATGTATATTTTTTATCTTTCAAGGATAGAAAGTAGGAAGGATATATTTTATTTCCTTTGTATTTGATTGGATGGATAAAAAATAAAAATGACAATTTTTTTTTTGGTACTGGCTAATATTATGGGTAACAATCAAGTCGTATCGTGACAGACTCATGTTGAGTCGTTATGAGTTTGTGTCAAATATTAGTCAAACGTAACTTAACTTATTTAACTAATTGTGTCTCGTCGAGTTACGAGTTAACCTTTTTATTTTCGTATCGAGTTCGAGTCATATCATCGTATTGAGTGAAAATTTTTTATCCTTAGTTAAGATGAAAATTTTTAATTTTATTTTATTTTTTAATTTTAATTTTAAATTTATTTAATATATATATATATATATATATATATATATATATATTATCATTATATTTTAATATGAAATTAATGTATACATAATGTATGTATATATAAAAATATATATAAACAAATAAGATACATTTCAACACAAATAATTAACTTTTCATTAACTTTCCTTTCGATTTTGGAGGAATTGATTTTGGTGAATTGAAAAGAGAGTTAATTCATTCACTTTTTTATCCTTTCTACTTTTTTTTTCTTACCAAACATGATGTTTTATTTATCCCTCTAACTTTTCATCATCTCACTTTTTCATCGTACCAAACGGAGCATGAGAGTGACAAATAATGACACAAAAAAAAATGGTGGAGTAAAAAGGAGTAGCCAATCAAAAGAAAAAGAAGCCTCTTTGTGCCAAGCTTTACCCTTTATACTTTGTGGACTTCCAATGGAATATGAAATGGGAACATAAAATTAGGAGTAAAATGGAATATGAAATGGAATACTATGCTTAGGCACATGTACTTTAATTGTTTTTATACTACAAAAGACAAGTTGTCTTCTTTTTCGTGTGCGTGCCGACTATTATTTCGAGTTCTGAGCTTGTCACCGTAATTCTAGTTAGTTTAAAAACATGTTCTTTGACAAATGAGGGTGATTGGCCTTTAGGAGATGTAGGACTGGACCACCCTTAAAGGTTAGAAAAGTTGTCTTCGCTTTTTAGGTAGAGTTTATCAAATTTTCAGGTAAAACATACTATCTTTTGAGGTTTTTGTTAGTCTTTGATATAATACCGAAAAATATAATTTTTTATATCATAATGTTTTTCCTTCTAAGTTTTAGTCATTTATCGTTAAGTATTAAAATTCAAATTTGGAATTTGATCAAATGCTAAATTCTGAATTTTTAATCTGAATATTTGATTGGTAAGTACTAAAATTTAGATTGAATATTGAATCAAATTGATGTATCAATGCAACGAACTGAAGCCCTAAACATTATAAAACTCAATATTCCAAATTCAATTTTAGAGTTTTGAAACTTTTGCTAAATATGGTTTTATTTCCTAATAAAAAGAAAATTTCACATTGTTGATGTAGTGGATAAAATAGATTATAATCTCAAAGATCACATTATATTTCAAATCTAACTAAACAACAAATATAGTAATTTTTTTATTTAATGTCTTTATCATTGTAGACAAAAGAATTGCAATTGAAAACTCCCCCCAAGCTGACGACATGTCATGCTCTATATCGGTTTCAATTGTAATTTTAAATTTGACGAGGACAAGACGAATGTTAAGTTGAAAATATTATCTGATGTACACATTTTAACTTGTAAATATAAGCAAACATAGCAATATTCACAAAAATTTAATAAGGTATAAATGTGAATAGAATAATAATCTGTAAGTTGCCTCACTGATAGCTACATTGAAAATTACAAAATGAAGGCATCTAATTAAAGCCAAAGGTATAAAATAAATAACACATGATTCAAATCTGATGGAAAAGACGGTGTTCAATGTTTCTTGACATCAAGAATAATCGATCATCTTTAGGATTAATATACATTTTTTACACGTTTTTTAAATAAATAAGTGTTTCCATGAAGATTATTGAAAGTAACATATCGGGGAAAAAATCATAGAAGGAAATCTTCAAACTTAATAAAGTTGAAACAAAATACAATGGAAATGATATAAATCGAATCACATCCACACGGGTAGAGAGTCTGCCTGAGTCATGCGACCACAGGTGACACCTATTGTAGTGTAGCACCTGGGTTCGGCTATCTCTTTGCCGAGTTTGGCTTCTGATCTCTATCTGAGTCTCTGGTTCATTTGTCAATAGTTATTGCAAAAGACTTCCAAATATTCTTAAAGAATTTTTAATAACAAGGGGCATAGTGTAGTTGTAAGTTTAGTAAATTGTGGCATGTGTGGATGGTATTGGTTCTAAGTTACAAAAAAGACTTTTCACATGAAAAAATAAATCTGTTTATATCTTATCTTTTTCAGATTCCATAATGGTGGGATTCTTATGCATTCGCTCATGTTAATATTTTTTAGCTTATAAAATTATTGTATTCTACCGTTATTGGGTGTACTCATCGGATAACACTAAGGTATCGAAAGTTGCTTTTCATGATTAAATTATAATTTTTTAAATGTGGAAGTTACAATTGTTTGAGGCAATTCATGATCTGTCTTAAAATGTCGTGATTAATCATAAATTATTTCAATCAATTGTAATTTATTTTTTTTAAAGACCCTTAAAAGTTGTAATTTTCATGATCTATCACAAAATATTATGATCAATCCTGTCATTTGAAATTATAACTTACACTCCAAAAAATTATAATTTGACCATAAAATATTATTACTTTTGGTATAATACTGCTTTTGATAATGTAGTCTTCCTCTTATTGTTTCATACTAACAATTAGTGCATCGGTATTGGGTAGTTCCAAAGTCTTCCAAGGGGATGATGCTATTAGGGTAAGATTACGGTATCGATTTAGCCTCAACCCTTGATTTTGTTTTAGATGATTAACAACTATTGGTTAAAAAATAATAAAATATATAAATTTTACATGTGTCAATACTCTATTATTAGGGCAAGGCTACGATACCTCTATAGTAACATGATGAGAAAATGAAGTTTGACCAGTATNGACATATTTACAAAAATACCCCTGTACCGTACCGCGGGGGCGTTGCCCCCGCACCCCCAACTTATCAGCGTCCCCTATATATAAATCCCGCAAGGCAAATGCCGTCGCGGGCTCCGCTACGCTCCACCCACTCCCGCATTTGCCTCCTTGCCATTATGCACATAGCAAAATATGAGCCACACATATTCTAACAGGTATAATACTGTTTTTGATAATGTAGTCTTCCTCTTATTGTTTCATACCAACAATTAGTGCCTCGGTATTGGGTAGTTCCAAAGTCTTCCAAGGGGATGATGCTATTAGGGTAAGATTACGGTATCGATTTAGCCTCAACCCTTGATTTTGTTTTAGATGATTAACAACTATTGGTTAAAAAATAATAAAATATATAAATTTTACATGTGTCAATACTCTATTATTAGGGCAATGCTACGATACCTCTATAATAGCATGATGAGAAAATGAAGTTTGACCAGTATCCCACTAAACCACCCTATTTTGTGGTACACAAAAATCAACTTTGTTAAAAAAGTAAAAAATAAAATAAATAATTGAAAAAGTTACCAAACCGAAACTATTTAGAACACCTTGTAATAAATAGTTCTGGAATGAGCTCACAAAAAATGGTTGTTTTTGAATTAAAAGGAACAAAAAAAAGAAAAAGAAAGAGGTATAGGCAATCTTATTGTGTAGTGTACTACTTGCGTGACCATTTTTGTCACTTAATAAGAAAGTGAAATTTTTTCACCTTTTTTTAATCTGGGCATTGGCTCTACATGAAAATTCGGAGTCAAGGCATATCGTCTATTGTATGTACCAAAATATCCTGATAGGTTGTGGGAAAAGAATGGTGTGGTCTATAAAGGGTGGGTTTAAGGAACCAACTTCTTCAACTAAGAAGGGAAAGCTTTAGTGTATCAAAAACACATCATGGCATTGGAAGACAATGGTTCTGATGACTACACACAGGACGGGACTGTGGATCTCAAAGGGAACCCTGTCCGCAGATCCAAACGAGGTGGATGGACTGCTTGTTCTTTTGTTGTTGGTACTCTCCCTCTCTCTCTCTCTCTCTCTCTCTCTCTTTGGGTGTGTTTGTCTGTCACTGTTTAATTGTTTGTGTATGTGTTGTGTCTGTGTGTTTTTGGTTTTGTGGGGGGGCGGGTGCACTTTGAGGGTACGGATCAGGCTTATAGGGGGTCACCCACTAGTGTAGAAGTTAGCTTTTCAGGCACTGGTACATATCCACAATGGCTCCATGAAATTGGAAGTTTGTGGTTTTTTGTTATTGGAGTTCAGTGGGTGTCCAGGAACACAGATGGCTTTTGTTTTGCAGAGATGCGTTTGTTGCATAGTGTGAATTAGCAGTTCTTTTCTCTCTCATTAAGCTTCTAGACATGTATAAGTTAGTGCAGGGAAGAACCTTTTGATGACAGTGATCTATATAACTTATTGTAATTAGTTTTAGGAAAAGTTTAGGTGGTGAATTTAGAGCATGAAGAATGTGAGAAGCAGATAAAGAAGATCATAGGTCTCCTTCCAGAAATGAAAAGATCAGGAATGAGAAACTGTAGTGTTGGATTCGTATTCAACGATATTTAGTTTCACTTTTCCAAGATATTTTTGGTGTCTTAACTCTTTTTGGTTGGGTGAGAACAATCAATGGGCCCATAGGTCAAAACTATTACATGGTGCTCACATATACTCTCTCTCTCACAACAAATACAAACACAGTACACACTATGTGTAGGCCTACCACCTTTAGAACAACCTTTGAACTTGCGTTGAATAAATAAGACGCTTATGAGCTGAACAATTTTTAACTACATAAAACTTTGTTAAACAAAACACGAACCGAATATGACATGTGTGATTACCAACCAACTATTATGAAGAACTAGAGTAATATGACACAAGGAACCCTATTTTTTCATTCTTTTTTGGTGGTCCATATTTATTCGTCCTATCACATATTTCTAGCTGCACATTATGTCACCTAAAATAATTACCCTCGTAATATGTTTTTTGTCTCCGAACCCAATTTTTACAAATGAACCAAGGCTTCAAGTTATAGATTTGAATTGATTTCAATATATTTTTTTTTTTGATATTTTGCAGTAATCACCATAAATTCATTTGAACCCACTTTATAGAACTTTCCTATCATTAACAAAATACGTTGATTTACTATTGAAGAAAATTGGACGAGAGAAGATTCGGGCCCCCAAATTTTGAAACCCCCCCCCTCCCAATCCCACCCCAGCTTCAAAGTGGCTGTAATGGTAGACCTTCCAATGCATCTTAATGTTACAACCACTCTCCAACTAACTTGCAACTATTACCAATGTAGATTGATTTAGGAGGATCTATATATGTCATGCATATATTATACTTCTTGTAATTTCCGAAACAATTGATGCAATTGGTCCAACAGATTGATTGTGTGGCAAATCGTTTTGATTTGAACATTCATTTTGTTGATTTTTGGTGCAGTATATGAGGTTTTTGAACGGATGGCTTTCCATGGCATATCATCAAATTTGGTGCTTTATCTCACCAAGAAGCTCCACCAGGGCACAGTCACGTCAGCCAATAATGTCACCAACTGGGTTGGGACTGTTTGGATGACTCCAATCTTGGGTGCATACGTAGCAGACGCCCATTTAGGACGGTATTGGACCTTTGTCATCGCCTCCGCAATCTATTTTGTGGTATGTATAATTATATACACTCTATTATTTATATACATATACATATGTACATATGTGTGTGTGTGTGTGTGTGATAGTGTTTCATTATGTTCGGTAGAGCTAGACTGGTAACTTAGCCAGCAAAGTCATGCTTAAATCTACCAACCAATTGGAGCTGGTGGGTTTTTGTCTGGACGACTCCTTGCTCAAAACAAGTTTTTAATGAAAATAACAGTGGTAAAACTATAATATTTTCGTAATTAAGTTTCCAAACTAAAATAGAGTAAGAATTAACTCATATATCTTCACATACAATCTTAACATGACAAATTTTGTTGTTACTCGTATAAAGTATCAATTTTGTCATATTTTATTTTCTATTTGTCACAACAAATGAGGGTAAAAATGGAATTTCACAATGTCAACTGATGTGATTTTCCTTTTCTCATTTGGGCAGAATTTTTTTTTTGTCTGCAACCAATATTGACTGAATATAGTAAAAAGAGATAAGACTGAATATAGTATATGCTTGAATTACACACACACACACAATATATATATATATATATATACTAAAAATTACTATTTATTTTGTTGGGATTTTGGCTTTAGTTAGATGAGATTATGACTCAATGGGATCGTTTTTGATCGATCCAAAAAATAGGACCCATCCTAAATTTTTACCATGTACACACACTATCACAGAGTTTGTAACTTAATAGGTTGTGTCTGATTTACAAAAGTTACTACCCATAACTACCTATTCTATTGATAATACATTTAGAAGTAATTTTTCATATTTTTTTATTTTTAAGCACTTTTTCTAAAAATTGTTTGTTATACATTTCTCGGCCTTTTGGCTAAGATCAAGTATGTCATTACATTTTTTTTGCTTAAAAAATTACTAATGTTAATCAATCCATCCTATATTCACATTGAGTTTCTTTTGATATGATGACAGGGAATGTCAGTTCTAACACTATCAGTTTCAATCCCTGGACTAAAGCCCCCTCACTGTGTGGATCCAAATGTAGAGAATTGCAAGAAGGCATCCACAATACAATTAGCTGTGTTTTATGGTGCCCTCTACACACTGGCTGTGGGTACGGGCGGGACGAAGCCAAACATCTCGACCATCGGAGCCGACCAATTCGACGATTTCGAACTGAAGGAGAAAGTTCACAAGTTCTCCTTCTTCAACTGGTGGGTGTTCAGCATCTTCTTTGGGACACTCTTTGCCAACACAATTCTTGTCTACATACAAGACAATGTGGGCTGGACCCTGGGTTACGGGCTTCCCACTGTGGGCCTTGCAATATCAATACTGATCTTCTTGGCGGGCACGCCATTTTATCGACACAAGGTGCCCACTGGGAGTCCCTTCACAAGGATGGCTAGGGTTCTAGTGGCTGCCGTAAGGAAGTGGAGGCTACCCCTTCCTGCTGACCCTAAAGAACTCTATGAGCTTGATTTTGAAGAATACACCAAGAAGGGAAAGTTTAGGATTGACTCCACACCCACCTTAAGGTTAGTATTGAGCTCTTTAATTTTTCTTGTCATTTTGGTTTAAGCCCAGCAGCAAGCAAGTGGGTGCTCAGTTAAGCCCAAATTCCTTGGTTGGCCCATTAGAAGGATCTAATCCGACATAGTTCATGAGGCTGCTATGGACTTTGTTTCGGCCTAGCTTTCCAGGCTTGTCAATGGATCTCATGCTGATCCAACAACTATAAATGAATTTTGTTTTTACAATTCATATCTTAACCATAAAAAATTAGCATTTAATCCTATCCAAATAACATACCCAATGATATCAGATATTGGTGTATGCAACTGTGTTGTTAAATTTGATATAAGGGATTTAGATTTATATAATTGGTTAAAAGTATTAATCTATATTATTCGATCAATTGGATTCGGATTCAGATTGAATCTGATCCATCNTTTTTTTTCCATGTATTTCACTTAGAAAGAATTGTATTGTTTGCACATTACAATCGATCATTAGAATATAGAATGTAACATAGTTGTGTAAAAACTTTGGACTGGCTTTGCATATAGTTAGCAGAGATCTTGAGATGATCTTTTCATCTGGATAACTTATTTCCTCCATAACGCTGAAGGAAACACATCAAAATTTTTAAGTCTCAGAAATCTCGAGAGCGTGTAATATTATGAACAATTAACGAGAAAGAAAAGAAGTCAAATATATGAATAACATGATATTGAAATTTATATATAAAAAAAAAACCAACACAAACACACACACACACAATATATTTATATATAAATATATATCTATATATATTTTGAGTAATATGTGACTAAAGATATGATAAAAAATAGAGATTAAATAACGTGATATTGAAATGATAAGTAATATTTAAGTTCAAGTGATGTGGTAATATAATAATAATGATGTCTTTCAGTAAAGTAATAATGATATGTTTTGGTTTTATTAATTTTTACAGGTTATCCAATGGTTGTCATCGTATCACATCATTTAATATTTAAAATTTAGTATTTGTTACTCTCAACATTATTCTTTCTTAACTTAAATTTAAGTTTTATTTATCATGTTGGCTGTCATATTATTTTGACTTTATTTTTTGTTTTTTTTTTAGTGGGCTTAATATTATTATTAAATTTTAAATATATAAACGTGAAATAAATAATATCATTATGTCAAGCCCACATTGTTTGGTCTCATTTTTTTGTTTTTGATATCGCAACTATCATAGTTACTTCTATATTTTTTTGCTTACGTACCGGTTAAACATTGAACCTTGTGTAAAGTCGCCTCTTCACACAAGAAGGTAAATTCATTAGCGATGGCCCCAAAAAACTACATTACATGGAATATTCAAATCTTTTATTTATTTCTCAAGAAAAATTTATCAAAATCATTGAGATTATTTTTTGGAGTCATTTTGTGGTCTCATGTTCGGGTCAATCTTGTGTTTTTTTTTTGGTAAGTGGGTCAATCTAGTGTTTTTCCTCTTTTGGTGTGCCAATCTTCTTTCAACAGTTGGAGTGTGTTTTGTCGGTTTGAGAGTGATGATGGAAAAGAATATTCAGCCCAGGAGAAGACTACTGCACCGAGAAAAATAGATATTTTCATATCTTTAAATTTTATAATTTTTAAAGCTCATTTTACAATAAAAAAATTATAATTTTTTAGGTCAAATTATAACTTTTTTTTGAGTCAAATTACATTTTTTTTGTAGCATTACAATCAATCCTAACATTATTAGAATTGATCACAAGTACCATGAAAAATTATAAAATGATCCTCAAAATTGTAAAAACGCCCATAAAATTTATTATGGCAATATGGTACCAAATTTTTTTTTAACAAAATAGAATTCTAGTTTTTCATTATTTTATTATCTATGATATCTCTTATTATAAGCTTCTATATTATTATCAAAAGGGATTTAGATAACTTAGATAGACCTACGCGCACGCATACTTTTCTATCCTTCATTATTATTATTATAGTATATTGACATATATACTATAAATGTCAATATTTGTATAAAAAATTAATTTACTATTTTTTCCTTCATTATTATTATAAAGTCAATAATACCCACGTATTACTTTCATCTAATTTTTATTTCTTTAACTTATTTGACTTCTAAATTATGTTGGACTATTTTATTAATNCCCCAGCTTCAAAGTGGCTGTACTGGTAGACCTTCCAATGCATCTTAATGTTACAACCACGCTCCAACTAACTTGCAACTATTACCCATGTAGATTGATTTAGGAGGATCTATATATGTCATGCATATATTATACTTCTTGTAATTTCCGAAACAATTGATGCAATTGGTCCAACAGATTGATTGTGTGGCAAATCGTTTTGATTTGAACATTCATTTTGTTGATTTTTGGTGCAGTATATGAGGTTTTTGAACGGATGGCTTTTCATGGCATATCATCAAATTTGGTGCTTTATCTCACCAAGAAGCTCCACCAGGGCACAGTCACGTCAGCCAATAATGTCACCAACTGGGTTGGGACTGTTTGGATGACTCCAATCTTGGGTGCATACGTAGCAGACGCCCATTTAGGACGGTATTGGACCTTTGTCATCGCCTCCGCAATCTATTTTGTGGTATGTATAATTATATACACTCTATTATTTATATACATATACATATGTACATATGTGTGTGTGTGTGTGTTAGTGTTTCATTATGTTCGGTAGAGCTAGACTGGTAACTTAGCCAGCAAAGTCATGCTTAAATCTACCAACCAATTGGAGCTGGTGGGTTTTTGTCTGGACGACTCCTTGCTCAAAACAAGTTTTTAATGAAAATAACAGTGGTAAAACTATAATATTTTCGTAATTAAGTTTCCAAACTAAAATAGAGTAAGAATTAACTCATATATCTTCACATACAATCTTAACATGACAAATTTTGTTGTTACTCGTATAAAGTATCAATTTTGTCATATTTTATTTTCTATTTGTCACAACAAATGAGGGTAAAAATGGAATTTCACAATGTCAACTGATGTGATTTTCCTTTTCTCATTTGGGCAGAATTTTTTTTTTGTCTGCAACCAATATTGACTGAATATAGTAAAAAGAGATAAGACTGAATATAGTATATGCTTGAATTACACACACACACACAATATATATATATATATATATACTAAAAATTACCATTTATTTTGTTGGGATTTTGGCTTTAGTTAGATGAGATTATGACTCAATGGGATCGTTTCTGATCGATCCAAAAAATAGGACCCATCCTAAATTTTTACCATGTACACACACTATCACAGAGTTTGTAACTTAATAGGTTGTCTGATTTACAAAAGTTACTACCCATAACTACCTATTCTATTGATAATACATTTAGAAGTAATTTTTCATATTTTTTATTTTTAAGCACTTTTTCTAAAAATTGTTTGTTATACATTTCTCGGCCTTTTGGCTAAGATCAAGTATGTCATTACATTTTTTTTGCTTAAAAAATTACTAATGTTAATCAATCCATCCTATATTCACATTGAGTTTCTTTTGATATGATGACAGGGAATGTCAGTTCTAACACTATCAGTTTCAATCCCTGGACTAAAGCCCCCTCACTGTGTGGATCCAAATGTAGAGAATTGCAAGAAGGCATCCACAATACAATTAGCTGTGTTTTATGGTGCCCTCTACACACTGGCTGTGGGTACGGGCGGGACGAAGCCAAACATCTCGACCATCGGAGCCGACCAATTCGACGATTTCGAACTGAAGGAGAAAGTTCACAAGTTCTCCTTCTTCAACTGGTGGGTGTTCAGCATCTTCTTTGGGACACTCTTTGCCAACACAATTCTTGTCTACATACAAGACAATGTGGGCT